CTGGATCGCTTACAGCGGCAGAGCACCGCAGCAGGACGCTGGCTGCCTGGGGACTTGGCACCTCGGTGATGAATGGGCCCTGAATCCTCAGAGGGAAGTGGAGCCTATTAAGGAAACAGAGGCTCACCTTTTGACAGAGATGCCATATGGAGGAAGGAACTGGAGACCTTGTCACCAATTTCCCCACGAATTCACCAATCCCCTCCACACCCCCAAGTTTATAATTTTGAGAACAGCTAAGATATTTCTCAAAACACTTTTACATAATCGACAACTTTTCTCTTCCAAATCCATCCTCCCAAGTAGGAAGGATGAGTGTCACTGCTTCAGTTCACAGAGTAGAAAACCAAATCTTAAATCGGCTCAGGGCCACACCTGTGATTATACAGCTTACCAGGGAGGGTCAAAACTGACACTGGAACCAGGGCTAGAACTCCCTTACACTAACTGCTCACTGTACTACTTATTTCCATGTTGTGGCTGAGTGCACCACATAAATTCATATTTAACTAGTGAGATTTAAGGAGAGAAGAATAATCAGAATGGGTTATAAATGAGTCCTTCCCCCTGGGGAAGTTTGGGCTCTAGACAAAAGTCTTCTCATTTTTAAAAGGCTCCCCTTTGTGAAATGAACAATCTGGCCCATGGTCATCAGCTGCCTAAAAGACCGATGGATTACAGTGAATTTCCCATGTGATGCTAAATTCATGTGATCATTCTCCTTTTTCTTTCTTTCCTTTTTTTTTTTTTTTTTTTTTTTAAAACCAACTGCTTAGGAGCTCAATCTAATTGTAGCACTTTCAATAGGCATCAAAACAGCCACAACACTCCTTAAAAAGAAGGAAGGTGCCTTGTTTCCAGAAAAAGATGTAAACTCCTCACCCTAGGGTACTCAGATACTTATTCCATGACAATCTGCCCCTTTCTCCCAGAGGACCACCCCCCGTCCCTACCACTACATCTCTCTCTCTCTCTCTCTCTTAAAAGAGAGGCTTAAAAATATCAGCATCAATGAGGCTACACTTTTGGCTTACTTCTGCCAAATTTTATTTTCAGCTTTGGGTAACTGGGAGTTCTTTACGGTCAAGGACAAAAAAAAAAAAACAAGAGGCTGGAAAAACCTCATTAAAAAACCAGCTAACACAACTCGCTTGTTTGAAATGAAGTGAAGGCAGGAGAAAGGGAGGAAAAAGGAAAGAAGAGTGGGAGGGAGAGTGAGGCCATGTTCTTGGCTGTGCCTCAGATGTGAAGAAATGTCACAGTCAAATAGTGGCTGAGTTTCAGTCTCACTCCTTAAAGGAGGGCGGAAGGCTTGGAGGGATGGGTGTAACCCTGGCAGGCAATCCTGGTCCTTACTAGGGGTAAGGAGAGAAAACAATTCTTCCTCATCTTAAAAACTGCTCAGTTTGACAGCCCCTAAAACAGTCTCCCAGAGCCTAGTCCCTTCCTTCAGAGCAGGTCCCTTGCATTTAAGCAAAGCACCTTTACACAGAAGCTCACTCATGCCTCCCAATACTAATCTGAGGAAATAAGTGGGGGTAGGTGTTATTATCCACAATTTACTTATAAAGGAATTAAGCTGAAGCTCAGAGATCGATAACTTCCCCAAGTTCATACAGACTGCAAGGATTAAAATCCAGCCCTCCAGAGTTCTCCCCACTATCCCAGCAGAAGCATGGCCAGATCGAAGAGCACTAGGTCAGTTTCGTTTTAGAGACTAGAACAGCCACAAGGATGATTTGCTGGTCAGCCTTCCTAGGGCTTGCACTAGTGTGAAGAATCCCTGATGATAAAGACCAAATGCCAACCTAAGTGTCAGTCAACAGAGCAAGGTTCCCTGAGGGTGAAGAGATAAGGGTACAGGCAGCCTGGCGGCCTGCAGGGGCATCCAGATGACCCAGGGAGGAAAGTGCTTCCTGACCACAACCTCTTACCGCCCGACACCAAATGGCCTCTTCTCGGGGTCATCAGCCACTTGCCATTGCTGCTTTTGCTCATGCATTTCCTCATGGCCCAGGACTACAATCAAGCTCTTTGAAAACAGGTCATGAGCTTCCCCAAGAAGCCACAGTATGAATAGTGAAGGGACATGGGAGATGAGGTAGGAGGAATGTGAGTCTCTCAGTCAAATATAATCAGGATCTTTCTTCTTTTGCTACTGCTCCGTCTTTACTTGGGTTAAAAAGGTGCTACCATTTTTTTTTTTTTGAGACGGAGTTTCGTTCTTGTTGCCCAGGTTGGAGTGCAGCGGCACGATCTCAGCTCACTGCAACCTGTGCCTCCCGGTTCAAGCAATTGTCCTGCCTCAGTCCCCCAAGTAGCTGGGATTACAGGCATCTGCCACCATGCCCGGCTAATTTTTTGTAGTAGAGATGGGGTTTCACCTTGTTGGCTACACTGGTCTTGAACTCCTGAACTCAGGTGATCTGTCTGCCTCGGCCTCCCAAAGTGCTGGGATTACAGACATGAGCCACCACGCCCAGCTGGTGCTACCATTTTATTTCATGCAACATCTATTCAGGGGAAGGGATGTTACAGCAAAATGAAGAGCCTGCCTTAAACAAATTAAGAGGTAAGGGAAGCTGGAGATATAGTTTTACTTATGTTTGTAAAGCTCATTAGAAGAAAAAATAAAGGAGGCCAAAAGACACTAGGTTAAGGATTCAGAAGACATGAGTTCTAGTCTCAGCTTTATTATTTCTTAGCTGGATGAGATGAAAAAATCTTAAATTATCTGGGCCTTTGTAAAAAGAATCCATTAAATGAACTAATAATAATAATCCTTGCCTGTATCACAGCATGCTTTAACGCTCATCTGAGATAAGGTATGTGAAAGCCCTTTATAAAACATTACACATGTGCTATATTATTATTGTGACTGAAGAGCTGATTACACGTATTTTGGGCAGACTGAAGAAACTCATCATGCTACTTAAGAATATATATGAAACATATATCCAAAGCAAATATTAGAAAAGGTTTCACTGTGCTTTCTGAGTCCTGTCCCCAAAGTAGGTACATGTTTTGTGACTCAAGCAAAAGAGAAATAGGCTGAGAAAATTTGTAGTGGAATATATTCTTTCATCATACTCCTTTGCTAAGAGTCCAAGGGATGAGTGAGGAGCCCAGGTCTTTTGGTTCATAGTGCTACTGTCTAGGAATGGACCATCTGATGCAGAAGGAAAAACTGGGCTTTGGATAAAAGAGACCTGTGTTCGAATTCCATTGGAAAAGTTCTCATAATTCACAGAAAAAAAAAAGAGTATTCTGTCTGGGCACGGCGGCTCACGCCTGCAATCATAGCACTTTGGGAGGCCAAGGCGGGTGGATCACCTGAGGTCAGGAGTTGGAGACCAGCCTGGCCAACATGGTAAAACACCTTCTCTACTAAAAATACAAAAATTATCTGGGTATGGTGGTGCAAGCCTGTAATCCCAGCTACTCGGGAGGCTGAGGCAGGAGAATCACTTGAACCAGGGAGGCAGAGGTTGCAGTGAGCCGAGATCGTGCTACTACAGCCTGGGAGACAAAGCAAGGCTCTATATCAAAGAAAAAAAAAGAAAAAAAAAGAAAAAAGACTATTCTATGTAAAACTGTGAGTTTATGCACAAAGGAAATTTAAAGTCTACCTTCAAAGATACATACTACTTCTTATTGTAATGTCATTATAGCTATTGAGTCTGACTAAAGGCTAAAAGAGATACAGTTCTGCATAAGGAGAAAAGAAATTACTTTAGGTGATGTCAAAATGATAAGCCATCAAAAAATTGTGGTTCATTCAGGAAAAAAAAAAAATCTCTTAAACAGACCTAGATAGCCTGGCAAACTTTTAAATTTAATCTCGTGATATTATGTAAAAAAAAAAAAAAAGTCTCTATAGCATATCAAGCAAATGTATAAAAATGTGATCAATACAGATGGCATATTATTTAATTATGATCTTCAGTGACAGACACAATAGGAAAATCTCGAGGCAACATTCTGACAGTGGAATAAATAAATAGATATAATGATTCCTCATACTAATCCCAGCAGAATTATAAATTATCAAGCTAGACTGTACTTCTGAGTTCTAAGGTTTCCTTAACATAATAGAGTTTAATGTAGGGGGTGTCATAGCACCAAAGTGCTGCCCTTTTATTAGAATAGAACACTCTCTGAGGATTTCAAGTTCAGAGGGTCAGAATGGCCCTGAGCTCTCTACATATTGCTAGTATTCCCCGACCCCAGCTACCTACTGGGACAAGCACGTGGAGAAGCACTGTAGTGGGGAGCACAGGCCCGGGGCAGAGGGAGGAAGAGGAGTTGCATTCTCCCCATCTCGGAATCACAGACTCACAAGTGGAAGGGCTTTAGAAATCCTCTAGCCCTTACCCAGAATTGTACAGAGCAGAAAAATGAGGATCAGAAAAGAGAATGTACTCGCTCAAGATCACATGGCTTCCTGGCAGAACCACATAAAAACCCAAGTTCCATGATGCATAGTACAAAGCTCCTTCTATGTCACTCTGGGAGCAAAAGCAATTGCTGAGGTGGTCAGCTAGCACATGGCCAGTGTAGCTGTGGCTATTATCATACCAACAGGAAGGAAAGAACTCTCCAGCAAGGGCCAAGAGAAATTACAGTTAACATTTAACATGATGGAACCAACTTCAAAGTCACTCCGGCTGGACTCTAATAATGGGAGATGAAACTGCTAACCCTAGCAGAAAGTTGCAGGTGGACAACTCTGGCTGGAAATAGCACATGTCCTCAGAGCAGGAGGGCTCTTCAGAAACCCCAACACAAGGCTGCTGCCTCACTGCAGGGTGGGGAGGCACATGGGAAGTAACCTTTCATCTGTTGGCAGTTCCAGACGTGATTAAGCGGTGTATCCCTTGTTAACGCCATGAGACACTTAGAAACACCCACATTTGTCAATTGGGGGGAGGGGGGGAGGGGCTGCTAATGTCACTGAGAGAGGGAGACGGTGCTGTCTGGGTAGACTTCAAGAAAGACAGGCCGGGTGTGGTGGCTCAAGCCTGTAATCCCAGCACTTTGGGAGGCCGAGGCGGGTGAATCACGAGGTCAAGAGATCGAGACCATCCTGGTCAACATGGTGAAACCCTGTCTCTACTAAAAATACAAAAATATTAGCTGGGCACGGTGGCGCGTGCCTGTAATCCCAGCTACTCAGGAGGCTGAGGCAGGAGAATTGCCTGAACCCAGGAGGCGGAGGTTGCGGTGAGCCGAGATCGCGCCATTGCACTCCAGCCTGGGTAACAAGAGTGAAACTCCGTCTCAAAAAAAAAAAAAAAAAAAAAAAAAAAAAAAGACTACAGGCCAGGTGCACGCCTGTAATCCCAGCACTTTGGGAGGCGGAGATGGGTGGATCATGAGGTCAGGAGTTTGAGACCAGCCTGGCCAACATGGTGAAACCCCATCTCTACTAAAAATACAAAAATTAGCTGGGTGTGGTGGCATGCGCCTGTAGTCCCAGCTACTTGGGAGGCTGAGGCAGGAGAATCTCTTGAATCCGGGAGGCAGAGGTTGCAGTGAGCTGAGACCGCACCACTGCACTCCAGCCTAGGCGACAGAGTGAGACTCTGTCTCAAAAAAAAGAAAGACTACAGTAGGCAGGGAAGACAGGAGAGAAGAGGAGCACCACCAAGGAGTGCAAACAGGACACTGCAGATTCTGGAGCCTGAGAAGAAAGGTTCCAATGGAGAAAAGTCAGTTAATTCTAGAATTTCTACTCCTGCCTAGGTGGACTTCACCCGTAGAACACTCAGTAACTTCTGGCCACAGTTTACATGTTGAATGAAGAGCTGATTCCACCTTGCAGAGAAATAGTCCTAGCCATCCTTTTTCTAGGATGTGTTCTAGCTGGCTCTCCCCAGGGCCCTGACTCCTGGTGTGATGGTGGAGGAGAGGAACCGAGGAGTAGGGACGGAGCTCTAGCAGTGGAGGGGGCCTCTGGCCCTGCTTCCTGCACAGCCTGGGCACCCGCAGCACAGACCCTGTTCTTGCTGTGCCTTCACTGTTGGTCCTACATGCTCAGCCTGCCAGAAGAGCCTTGGGCATGGCATTCGTTCAGGCTCTGCCTGGACCCCACCCCACAGACCTCATCAGGGACCTCTGCTCAAGTCTGCCCTTAGGTGGCTGAAGGGGAGGAGATGCCACATCAGGCCTCCTGTGGCAGGGCCCCTGGCTAGCTCTCACACTGTGACTCTGCTCTAATTACTAGGCTCTGTCCTATCCCTGAGGACGAGTTCCCCAATCCGGGCACTGGACCCCTGCCTTGATCGGCTTCGGTTCTTAGGAACAACTGTGCCCTACTTACTCTGTCAACTACTACTCTCCCACTGCGGCCCACCCAAAGGGGTCTTGCTGGATTCTAAAGGTGCTGCTGAGGCCTCACTGCCAGTTGCCCCTCTTGGTGATACTACCCCACTGACCTAGGTCTCTACACCGTGCCCTCTCCTTGCATGGCCTCACCCCACTGTCGATGAAGCCCTCCATGCTGCCATGAGCTGCCCTTCCCTGCTCCATGCCCCAAGCACCAGGAACTGTCTGGTTCATCCAGCCTGACGCAACCCAGCCCCATCAGCAGGTGTTTAGGGAAGACTTTTTTTGCCAATAGAGGCCATACACTACCAGTAGATGAAATAATTAAAGCATATGACCTGCTATTTAGGAAGCATACCGTTAGTTACACTGTTTTATTCTATCATACTATACATTGTGTGCCTCGGGTGGGTTCTGGAGGAGTCCTCTCTCTCTCTGGCCCTTCTGCTTTGTCTCGAGCTAGTGAGGATGGCAGGAAGACATGGAGCAGGGGCCTCTTAAAGGCCTAGCAATGAAATGCTCAAACTGATCAAATATCTAGGGTGTAAGAGCTAAATATAATATAATGGATATAAGTATATTAAATTTAGAGAGAAGACATTACTCTTTAGAATCCTAAACCTTTTTAAGAAAACAAAGCAGTGGACTAATTTTTTATTTTTATTTTTTTGAGATGGAGTCTTGCTCTGTCACCCAGGCTAGAGTGCAGTGGCATGATCCTGGCTTACTGCAACCTCCACCTCCCAGGTTCAAATGATTCTCCTGACTCAGCCTCCTGAGTAGCTGCGATTACGGGTGCCTGCCACCACGCCCAGCTAATTTTTGTATTTTTAGTAGAGATAGGGTTTCATCATGTTGGCCAGATCTTGATCTCTTGACCTCATGATCTGCCTGCCTTGGCCTCCCAAAGTGCTGGGATTAAAGGCGTGAGCCACCACGCCCGGCCAGCACCTGCTATAGATGGTCACTAACCTAGGCACTGGAGATCACAGATGAAAAGGGAAAATCCTGGTCCTAAAGTGGTTCTGTGAGATAAAGAAGTAGGTAGATGCACAATGGAGGAGACTTTAAGGTATCAGCTACAGGCCCCCGTGAGCCTGCCTAGGAGTGATGAGGAAAGGCTGTGCGGAGCTGTGCTACTGCAGGGGAGCCGTGGAGGGGAGGCAGCAGCGTGTGGAGGCAGATGGGAGGGGAGAGGTCCTGGGTGAGGGGCACCTCAGGGGACGCCTCAGGGACCAGTACCAGCAAAGGCATGGGGCATCAAACAGGAGTCATTCAGCCCGGTCACATCCCAGGACCCACGTGGGGGAGTGTTGAGGTGCGAGGCTGAGGCTGCAGAGTCCTTGGGGACAGGAAGAGACACCTCAGGATCGCTGGGACTCACTGGTCCATACCTGGGCTCTGTCATTAACCAGTGACTCGTGTAGCCTCTTCCATGGGCTTCTTTGTTCTGGGAAGCCTGAGGTGAGAGCAATGGTACTGCTGCCAGCCTAGCGTCTGCTCTGAGACTGTTCTGTAGGACCCACCACACCTCAGAACAGGATGGCGTTGGCTGGCACAGTGGCTCACACCTGTGATAACAGCACTTTGGGAGGCCGAGGCAAGTGGATCACCTGAGGTCAGGAGTTTGAGACCAGCCTGGCCAACATCGTGAAACCTCGTCTCTACTAAAAATACAAAAGTTAGCCAGGTGCGGTGGCGGGCGCCTGTAATCCCAGCTACTCAGGAGGCTGAGGCACAAGAATCACTTGAACCTGGAGGTGGAGGTTGCTGTGAGCTGAGATTGCACCACTGTACTCCAGCCTGGGGTGACAGAGCGAGACTCCATCTCAAAACAAAACAAAACAAAACAGGAGTGACGTGCCCCTGGAATGTTGGGGAGAGGATTCAAGGCATTTTCCAGGCACACTGTTCCTCAGATGGGCAAAGAGGAGTTCCAACATCAGACAAACGTAGCGACTGCTAAGAGCATTCAAATTCGGAATTCCCTCTGGTGGCTGCGATCAACATTTCTCACAGAGGAAACCTGGACAAGTCTGATCTGCAAAGAGCATTATCCACTCCCTGTGTCTAGCTTATTGGCCCAGAATACCAGGTTAGCGAGCTGAAGTAATTCAACATCAAGCCAGCTGTTTTAGGCAATTAGGTAACATTTTTCATTTAGGAGACCACACAACAGAGGGGAGAGAACAGGGAGATAAGACCTGTGTTTTGATTTACTAAGTCTCTGCTGCAGATAAAGCCCAGCTTTTTGGAAGCCTTCAGGCAATTACTATTTCAGGCTTGGCAAGAACTTGAGTCTGAAAGTAACTATTGGGCTTGTCTTGGCAAGACTCAAAGTCACTGTAGCTGTAAGGTTGTCCCAGGCAGCGGTGGAGGGGAAAGTCAGTGGCAAGAGGAAGCCAGGAACCGTAGTCATTAGGAGGGCTGTCGCAGGCTTGGAGCTCAAAGGAGGCCAAATCCAGGCCTCCCACAACATGTTCTTAGAGAGGGAATGCGGTCAGAGGGTGAAGGCCCAGGCCTGCTGGTCGGGATTCTGCGGTTCCCTTTCTGGCATCTGTACTTGTCAGTTCTGTGGGCACTGTTTACACTCCCTGCCTCAGTATCTTTTCCTACAAAAGAGGAGGAGACTGAGAGCTTTTAGGTTTGTGGGAGCAAAGGAAAGAGGTGCGACGGGCAGGCTGTTAATGGTGCCTGCTTAGCAGAAAGGGAGAAGAGAACGTGAGTATCAGAAGATCAAAACGTGAATCTCCTCCCTGCCACGAACTGACAAGGTGACTCTGCTCAAGTCGCTTCCCCTGTGTGTGCCTTGGTTTCTAAGGCACCAAACCAGGGCGGTGGCCCAGGCTAGATAATCCTAAGGGCCCTTCTAGTTCTGGCATTCTACTATCCCAAGATGCCAAGCCAGATAATCTGCTGGGCTGAAGGCAAGGAAGATTGTCTTTGAATGGAAAAGAGGAACAGCCTGTGTGCTGCCAGCCAGCTTCCCCCACAAGACTCTGGAGCCAACACTAAGTATGGGGCTGGGCGAGCAGGGCTGGCGGAGGAGACAGCAGGCCCGCGTGTGGTCACTGGCTCCGCAGCATTGAAACATCGCTTGCTTGAGCTCTTCCACTTAATTGGGAGCTTGCCTTTCCAGTTGTGTATTTTTATCCTGTGTCCTGGAACCCAAACCATTAGGTTTGTAGCCAAAGGCTGCTTCTTGTTTAATCGTTAACTGCCTGGGCCCTGAGGAGCTCTACCCTGGCCGGAAAGTCCTCGCCAGATGCTGCATCTCTTCAGCGCGCAGGACCCAAGAGAGGACGCTGAGCTGGACCCAAGTCCGTGCTCTGTGCTTCAGCCTCGGAAATAAACACCCTACATTGTCTGGCCCACACAAATCCCAGTTCAGCCAGGCCTCTCCTGTGGGGTTATTCTGGTAACAAAATGCTTGAGATCAGCAATTCTTTTCTACTCTTACCCGCTCTCAGAGATGAGCCAACTGGGCTATTCCTTAGGCTCCACTTTCTGTGTCTGAAATGTGGTTGAAAACTAATATTCCAGATGTTTCCTCATATTTTAAGCAGAACCGCAGATTAAGCTTCCTATAGGAAGGTAATAGGGCACAGTGGAGCGAGGACAGTCTTTGGAGTGGAATCATGGCGTTGAAATCGCGGCCCCACCCTTTCCAGTCAAATGGCATTGAGAAAGCATTGGTTCTTTGAGCC